ATTCAGCCACTCTCTGTCTTTTGATTGGAGCAATTAATCCATTTACATTTAAAGCAATTGTTAATAGATATGTCTTTATTGCCATTTTATTATCAGATTTTTTATCTTTTTTTCCTTGTTCTTCTTAAAGACCTTTAACATGTCTTATACTACTGGTTTGGTGGTGATGAACTTCTTTAGCTGTTCTTGCTGGGAAACTCTTTATCTGTTCTTAAATTCTAAATGATAACATAATCTTGGCTGTAGGTCCTTGCCTTTCATCACTTTGAATATTTCATGCCATTATCTTCTGGTCTATAAAGTTTCTGTTGAATAATCAGTTGAAAGTCTTATGGGAGTTTCCTTGTAGGTAGCTAACTGCTTTTCTCTTTCTGCTTTTAAAATTCTCTTTTTGTCTTTAACCTTTGACACTTTAATTATGATGTGTCTTGATGTGAGTCTCTTTGGGTTTATATTGTTTGGGTCTCTCTGTGCTTCTTTGACTTGTGTGTCTATATCTTTCACAGGGTTAGGTAAATTTCCCATTATTATTTTTTAAATAGCTTTTTAATTTCTTGTGCTCTCTCTTCTCCTTCTGGCACATCCATGATGTGAATTTTGGTATACTTAAAGTTGTCCCAGAAGTTCCTTACACTATTCTCATTTTATTTTAAAAAAAAAATTGTTGTTGTTGCTATTCTGATTGGGTATTTTCTGCTTCCTTCAAATCACTGATTGATCCTCTGATTTATCTACTCTACTGTTGATTCCTTGTAATGTATTCTTCATTTCTGACTGGTTCTTTTTTATGTTTTCTATCTTGTTAAAGTTCTCACTAAGTTCTTCTACTCTTCCCCTAAGTTCATTGAGCATCCTTATAACCAGTGTTTTGAACTCTGAATCTGGTAAATTGCTTGTCTCCATTTTGTTTAGTTATTTTTCTGGAGTTTTGCTGTGTTCTTTCCTTTGGGACATGTTTCTTTGTTGCCTTATTTTAGCTGCCTCCCTGTGTTTGTTTCTATGTATAAGGTTAGAGTTGCTACCTCTCCTAGTCTTGGTAGAGTGGCCTTATGGAGTACAGTCAAACCTTGGTTCTTGAATGTCTCCTATCTCAAACAATTTTGTTTTCAACCAAGTTTATCAATGGAAAAATGTCCTGTTTGTTGAATAAAACTTTGGTTCCCCACCCAACAACCCTTTCATGCTGATACCTGCATGATACCTCTCAGGTGACAAAGAAAGGAGAGAATGTACTAGTATTAGTCAGCTTACTGCTAAACTTCGCATTGTTAAACCCTCAGGAAATTGTGCTGTGAATATTTTTATGTGTTGTTTTTTTTTTTTTTTTTTGCTTTTGTTGCTGCTTATTATTAAATGTGTACAGTAAGTCACCATGGGTCCTAAGAAGGTTAGTGATAGCAGCAAAGTGAAAAGGAAAGTTGTGAGAACAATAATAGAGCTTACAAAAGAAATAATTGCAAAGTATAATCAAGGTATTCATGTGTTTAATCTGGCTACCTAGTATGGCATGGAGAAATTGCTGATTAGCTGAATTTTAAAACATAAAGAGGCCATCAAGAGTGCTGATATTAAGGGTGTAAAAGTGCTCATAAAACACTGATCACATGCTGAAGAGGTAGAAAAATTATTGATTTGGATAAATGAAAAGCAGTTAGCCAGTGAAAGCACTTCAGAGGCAACAGCTCTCAACATTAAAGTTCTAGTGTTGACATCAATTTTCATTTTTTACTGTACATTTCATTCCCTTTTTAAAAATTTTTCATTTATAGTTCATCTCCTTTTTGTTTTAAATGTGTTTATCTATAGGTTAAACATTACATTAGACATGCACTGTATATAAGAAAGGTTAAAACAGGGAATCATTTGGGGTTCTGGAACAGATTAATTAAATTTACATTATTTCTAATGGGGAAAAAATGCTTCAGTTTTCTTACAAATTGCTTCTCAAACAGTCTTCTGGAATGAGCTAAGTTTGAGAACCCAGGTTCCACTGTAGGTCTCACACAGTCTCCCCAGCCACCCAAGCTGGTGTTCCAGGTGTGCCTTCCATCTGGGCTGTGTGCATCCTCCTGTAATAGTTGAGCTTTGATTGCTATTGGCAAGTCAATGGGGTGGATTTACCTCCAGGCCAATCAGCTGCAAATATTGGCTGTGACCACCGTGGAGAATCAGCAGTGCAGAGGCCAACCCCAGAGAGCAGAACTCACTTTACCAAGTCTCAGGTACCCACTGAGTCCACGCCTTGACTGTGTTGCTTGTTGAGGTGACTGGGTGGTGCTTCAGTTTGTCCTGAAGCTAATACCACATGTGCTGGCTCTGGGGCCCTCTGGGAGGTGTGGGCCAAGGCCAGCTGCCACCTGTGTCCTGCCCAGGGCCACACAGCATGAACTACAAAGCAATCCACAGATGGCTGCTACTCGTGCTGGGCTTGGAGGTGCCTGGGAGAGCCCAAGCTGAGGACCATGGCCAGCTGCCACTAGTGCCAGGCCTGGGGCCACTTAGCAAGAGGTACAGGGTACACAGAGGCCAGATGTTGCTTGTTTGAGAGCTTTTAGGAAAGTTGGCAGCATGAACCAAGACAGGCCATTTGTATGGAAAGACACTGGAAAGGGCTTGGGTGGTGGGGCGGGGGGAGACCTCTGAGAATCACCAGGGTCAGGGAAATGATGTCAGCCAGGTTGATGGAGACTCAAATATGGTGCCTGCCTGCTGGCTTTGTTCAGAGAGGGCTCAGCAAAGGAACCATGGCCTCTGTCAGCACTGCTGCTTGGGAGAAAGCTGCTCCTCCAGAACTCACCCTGAAGTCAGACAGTTCAGTTCCTCCCACACACCCCTGGTGTCTTTCAAGCTGCTGCCCCAGTGCTGAGCTCAGAGCCAGTGGAACGGAGTCCGTCTACGTGTGGGCCCTTTGTCTTGCTCAGCCACAGTCTCCGCTGGTTTTTACAGCCAGAAGTTTTGAATATTTCTCTTCCAGCCACTGGAACCCTGGACTGAGGATTCTGGTGTGGGGCTAGGACCTCTGGCTTTTCAGGGGGAACCTTGGTGGCCAAGATATTCCTCCCAATTTTTAACCACTTACATGTGGGTGTGGGACCAGCCTATTCTGTGTCTCCACCCCTCCCACCAGTCTTGATGTGGCTTCTTCTTTATACCTTAGTTAGAGGTCTTCTGTTCAGCTAGATTTCAGACAGTTCTGAATGATGGTTCTTCTGTAGTTTGGTTGTAATTTCGACGTGGTTGTGGGAGTTTCCAAGTACCACATTCCAAGTACACTGCCATCTTGATCAGAGCCAGACCTACCTTATTTTTAAGGAAATGCTATAGTTGCTTAGTCTCATTATTTATTAAATGAAAAACTAAAAGTGGGTTATGAGGTGAAGAGTTGGTGAGTGGGCCCAGTTCATCAGATGGGGAGGAAGCAAAAAGTCAATTATTTAGGCAGTGTCCTTAGCCAAGACTACAAACATTTTAAGCATTACCAAATAATACTGGGTTATTTACAACAGAAATTTCTCAATCAACTCTTCTCTCAGAGAAAGTGGTTTTCTCTGATCACTGAAATTCTCCCCACACTCTAAACTAGAATGCAAGTGTCACCTCTTCCAGGAGGCCTTCCATGATTGCTGACTTTGTGTCCTCTGGACTCCCATAGCATTTTGCCTGGAAAATTCTGGGTTTGGGTCATATAATATAGTTCATGGAGACTCAGTCTCAGGCTTTCTTCTCATTCTATGTGTTCTCCCTGAGCCAACGACTCATACTTTTCTCTCCCCAGAAAACAGACTTTTTCTCCGAACTCCAGAACTGCAGAGCTGACTCAGAATCTCTGCTTACATAGCTGAAAGCACACTAAGTTCAATAATGTCCAAAATAAAGCATGTTCCTCCAATTGAATATCTTTGGTGTTGTCACTTCAATGTAGACCACTTCCATCCATCCTCACTTGGTTCAAGTCAGAACGGACTGGATCCAGAGGGCAGCCTCTTGACCCCTGCCTCCCATCTACAATTTCTTAGGGAGCACCATTGCTTTTACTTTCATCTACCACCCCTTTATGGCTGTCCTGGTACAAGCTACTGTCATCTCTCCCATGGGCACTCCAACAGCCCCGGACTTGTCTCCATGCTTCCATCCTAGACCCCTTTCATCTGTCCGCACAGCGGCCAGTGTTTTATCCCCTGCCTAGAACTTTTACAGGACCCTGCAGGATCTGGTTCCTGCCTACCTCTCCAACCACATCTTCCCATAAGTTCAATAAACACATCATTTGTTCATGCTTCCAGTCTTTACAGATATTAGCTCCCCCATTGAGAATGAGCTTTCTTCTCTTTACCTAATTAGTTTTTCATTCTTTAAAGCTGAACTCAAATGTAATTGCAGCAAGTAAACCTTTCCAGATATTTCCCCTCTCCCCTCCGATTCTGGCAGTGGCAGGGCCCACTATGATTACGTTCCTCTGTCACAGCCTTAGCACTACGGCCAGCTAGTAGTCATCAATGAGAGGGACATACATCACTTCAAGGACATATGTCTTTGTTCCCCAGCGTGTCCCAGGTACCTACAAGCGTGTCCACACATATTAGGTGCTCAATAAAGGTCTGCTGCATGAGTGAATGATCAGGGGATAGAGTCCCTGCCTTTTCCAGTCAGCCTTATGACCTTGGAGAAGTCACTTACCATTCCTGGTCCGCAGGCTCCACTGCGTAAAGCGGGGTCTGCAATTCTGTTTATCCAGGTAACGGTGTGCACTGCCTGGCACCTCATGGGCGCACAGAGCATGCTTACTGGTCCTATCCTTCTATTGAAGCAGGGGAAGGCGGAGGACGATGCTAACGCATCCCAGGGTGTTGGGGGTGCAGGAAAGACTCTCCAGAGAAGGTGGAAGGAGGTCTGAGGAAGGAAGGAGGTCTAGACAGAAAGCACAACCTTCCCGGATGCTCAGAGGCTCGCTATACCTGGGCACACGCGTGTTGCCGGCCCTCCAGCGCTCGGCTGCCCACCTTGCAGGCCCTCCAGGCGGAAGGTGCGGTGCTCCACAGACAGGCCGACTGCGCTGTATGGACCATAGCGCAAGGTGACCACTGCGTTCTTGGGCATGGCTGGGCCTCCTGCCCGGGCTACCGCATAGCGCACACTGCTGGGCAACTGCGCTTTATGCCCTTAGGAGTGGGCGTGGCCAGGCGCGGCTGGGCGTGGCCAGGCGGGTGGAGCTTGAGGGTCCTCCGTATCACCGCCCACCCCACCCCCACCCAGCGGTGCCCAGTGTAATGGGTGAGAGTGAGGAGTTTCCCTCCTGGATGCCTGCACCACCTACTGTGCGCCCACTGCTGGGCGCAAAAAGGTGTGGTGGTCAGAGATTATTTGCTTCAGCAACTCTCATAGTCAGGTAAACATGAGATTTTAATCTGATATGGAAAGTGTTGATCAATAACAATAGCCAGTATTTACAGACAATTACAGAAAGTATGTATCAGGCAACATACTAAGCACTTTCCATATGTTAGCTCATGTAATCATTTTACCATTCTTATAAAATAGGTTGTACTTTGTTATTTAGTATTTACCAAACGGAGGCTCAGAGGGGCCAAGTAACCTTCGCAGATGATTCAGGGGTGCAGCACGGATTGGAAACCCTGGTGAGGTGTCTATGTATAGATTTCTTCTTATTTATCTTGCCTGCGACTTGTTGATCACTTCTTTGAATGTTTGATAGAACATCTGTATAAAATTTTATCCCCCCCCCCTTTTTCACTGAGTGGAAGATTTTAAACTACTTCTTTAGTTTATTTAAGATTTATAAAAATATTCAGAAATTTTATTCTTGCATCACTTTCAACAAATTATATTTTCCTAATAATTTTTCTATTTTTATGTAAGTTTTCAAATTTATTGGCATACAGTGGTTGATGGAGTCTCTTATTTTAAATGTCTACTTTATTGTGGTTATGTCAACTTTTGATTTATAATATTATTTATTTCTGACTTTCATTTTTAAGTTTGTTTTACCAGAAACGTCTATCTTGTTAGTTATTTTATTTTATTATTGTTTAATGTATTACAAATAGTAGTACATATGTCTCCTTCTTCCCCCCATTTACCTCTCCCGGCCTTCTCCACCCCCCACCTCCTGGCACATGCCCTCACCTCCCTAGTGTCTGTGTCCATTGGTTATGCTTATATGCATGCGTACAAGTCCTTTGGTTGATCTTTTACCCCTATCCACTCCCTTCTCATGCCTTCCCGCTGAAGTTTGACAGTCTGTTTGATGTTTCTCTGTCTCTATATCTATTTTTATTCATTGGTTTATGATGTTCTTTATATTCCACGAATGAGTGAGATCATGTGATATTTATCTTTCTCTGACTGGCTTATTTCGCTTAGCATAATGCTCTCCAGGCCCATCCATGCTATTGCAAATGGTAGGAGTTCTTTCCTTTTTATAGCAGCATAGTATTTCATTGTGTAGATGTACCATAGTTTTCTAATCCACTCATCTGCTGATGGGCACTTAGGGTGTTTATCTTAGCTATTGAGGATTGGGCTGCTATGAACATAGGGGTGCATATTGTTAGTCTTTTTAAAGAACCAACTTTTACTTCGTCTAGCTTCTCTATTGTTTTTTGTTTTCTCTTTCATTGATAGCTGCTTTTAAAATTTTTGTTATTGAATTTATTGGGGTGACATTAATTAATAAAATTATACAGTTTCAGGTATACTAGAATTGTATATCATCTGTGTATTGTACTGTGTGTTCACCACCCAAAGATAAGTCTCCTTTCATCACCATTTATGCCCCTTTACCCTCTTCTACCTCCCTCTACCCCTTTCCCTCTGGTAATCACCACACTATTGTATGTGCCTATGAGTTTTATGGTTTTTTGCTTAATCCTTTCACTTTTTCCACCCAGCCCTGCAACATCCCTCTCCAAGGACAGCTGTCAGTCTGTTCTCAGTCGGTTTCTATTTTGTTTGTTACTTTTGTTCATTCAGGTCCTTTGCCATATTTTAATTGAATTGTTTGTTTTTCTGGCATTGAGTTGTATGAGTTCTTTATAAATTTTGGTTATTAACCCCTTATCAGATGTATCATTGGCGAATATGTTTTCCGATTCAGTGGGCTGTCTTTTCATTTTGCTGATCGTTTCTTTTGCTAGGCAAAAACATTTTAGTTTGATGTGGTCCTAGTTGCTTATTTTTCCCTTTGTTACTTTTGCCCAAGGAGATATATCAGAAAAAAAATATTACTATGAGAAATGTCTGAGATTTTACTGCCTATGTTTTCTTCTAGGATTTTTATGGTTTTGAGTTTAATATTTAAATCTTTTATCTATTTTGAATTTATTCTTGGGTATGGTGTAAGATGGTGGTTTCTTTTCTTTTCTTTTCTTTTCTTTTCTTTTCTTTTCTTTTCTTTTTTTTGCCTGTATCTGTCCAATTTTCCTAACACCATTTATTAAATTGACTGTCTTTACCCCATTGTATCTTTTTGCCTCCTTTGTCAAATATTAATTGACCATAAAATTGTGAGCTTATTTCTGGGTTCTCTATTCTGTTCCATATATCTATATCAGTGATGGTGAACCTTTTGAGCTCAGCGTGTCAGCATTCTGAAAGACCCTAACTTAACTCTGGTGCCGTGTCACATATAGAAATTTTTTGATATTTGCAACCATAGTAAAACAAAGACTTATATTTTTGATATTTATTTTAGTTATTTAAATGCCATTTACCAAGGAAAAATCAACCAAAAAAATGAGTTCACGTGTCACCTCTGACACGCGTCTCATAGGTTCGCCATCACTGACTATATGTCTGTTTTATTGCCAGTACATGGTGTTTTGATCACTTTGGCCTTGTAGTATAGTTTGATATCAGGTAGCATGATCCCTCCAAGTTTGCCCTTCTTTCTCAAGATTGCTGTGGCTATTCAGGTTCTCTTGTGGTTCCATATGAATTTTGGGAATATTCTAATTCTGTATTGATAGCTGTTTTTAATCTTTATTACTTTATTTGAGTTTACTGTTTCTTCTGCTTTCTTTGAGTTTATTGTTTGACTCCTTTAAAAAAATTTACTTTAAAAATATGCTTATTGACTTCAGAGAGGAAGAGAGATAGAAACATCAGTGATGAGAGAGAATCATTGATTGGCTGCCTCCTGCACGCCCCACACTGGGGATGGAGCCCGCAACCTGGGCATGTGCTCTAACCAGGAATTGAACCGTGACATCCTGGTTCATAGGTTGACACTCAACCACAGAGCCACACCAGCGGGGCAAACTTTTACTTTCTAAGTTACACTTAGTTCATCAATTTTCAGACTTCTTTTCTGATGTATTTTAACATATAAATTTCTCTGAAAACATGCTTTTGTTATATCCCAGAGGTTTTGATATGCAGTATCTTTATTATCATTCTGCTCTAAATTTTAAAATTGTATTAGTTTTTCTTTGAACCATGAGTTTTCGAAAGATGTGTTTCTCTGACTGTGGAATATTCTTAGCCATTTTCTCTTTGAACAGTACTCCTCCATTCCCCCTGCCCCCATTCTCTCTAATGTTTCCCTTTTGAACTCCTATGTGTATCTTCTCTCTATTTTTATTTATTTTTAATGTTAAACATTGATTTTATAGCTTTTTTGTAGTCATCTATTATCTCCAGTCTTTATGATGTTAATTTTCCTGTTTGTTTTATCTGCCACTTTCCCTCCAGTGAGCCATTCTTATGCCATTTGTATTGTTTGATTGTGAGCTCATCTTCAATGGAGTACTTTCCCCCTGTGCGTGTCTGTGGTGTTCGTGGCTGTGGAAAGTGGTTTTGCATTTGCTTCTGAGACCCTTTGGGTCTTATTGACCCGGGCAATTAAAACAAATTATTGGCTTGTAATTCCAGCTTTACATTTAACTTGTATAAATTCAGACTCCACATCCACATATGACACAGTTTATAGTTTGATTTCTCATTGATGCATTTTTTCCATTACCTACAGCTCTGAGTGAATGGCGTGGTTTCTCAGTGCTCCCCTGGGTTGGCGGGAGAGGTTCTCTAGTCCTTTATATAGGGCTGGGATGCCTCTATGAGGTCACAGTTTTACCTGGGGAGTTTGGCTGTATTTCCCACCTTGCATGGGCTGGGGTTATGCCTTTTAAACTTGCAGGGCGTCAGCCTCTGAGGTCTGTATCTGGTTGTATTTACCTTTAGCTCCTGCTCACTGCTCTGTGTTGCACATCCTTCTTTTTTTCCTGGCATGTGAGGATTTCTTTCTCGAGGTGATCTCTGTGTTTAAAAGAATTTTCTCTTTATTTGTATGTATTTTATAGGGTAAGGGGCCTGTCTGCATCAGCTCAGCTGGCTATTTTCCTGCTCCTTTAATATAAGAAATTAGAGACCAAACACAGAATCCTGGGGCCAATGACGTAAGGTACAGAAATAGGAAGTGAAATCACACAAGGAGATGGAAGAAGCAGTAGGAAAAAAACAAACCAAACCAAGGAGAGAGCTGGTCCTTGGGCAGCAGAGAAGACCAGAGCTTCGAGAAAGGTCCTCTTATGCGGTGGGAGGCCAGCTTTCCCCTGGGGTGGCATATGGCCCATCCTGCTCACTTTAAAAGGACAACGCAGAGAAACACAACCAGGGAATGGGCTGACTCTATAAAGGAAACCTGACCCTGATTCTCACCTGACCCCCAAGGAGAACTGCTTAGGAGTAATTTGGAAACTTCTGGTTCCTCTTGTGAAACTGGGAAGGACTCTTCCCTGCATCTCAACCTGAATTGACCAACATCCACCCAACAGGACCTGCAGAGACAACAGGGGCGGGTGGCAGCATTTTGCATGTTGACCGTCATACCCTTCTCTGTTGTCTACAGCTGATTATTTCTGGGCCAGTTGTGATATGTGTGATAAGAGCAAACCCAGGTTCCTTAGATCCTGGGCCTTCCTATCTTCCATTCGCTGTGGAACATCCTAGCCCGCATCTTTTTGGAGAATGCCTTTTCCACATCCCAATCACATACATCATACACTTTGAGGTTCTTTTTAGGCTCTGATTGGGAAGCGCTGGGGCTTCTGTTTGGAGGAATTTCGGTTCTGGTTTTGAGGATTACAGAGGTCTTGCAGCTCAGAATGTATCTTGGGGTTTTGCAGGCTGAGGGCACCTGTGTGCACAGGTACCTGTAGGAAGTTTTCATACAATAACCATCTTATGTCATCTCATCACAACCCTGGGAGTGGGTAGTGCTAATATCAACATCCCCATTTTATAGATGGGGAAACTGAGGGTTAGATAGAGGAAATGATATCCCCAAAGCCCATGGTAAGTTAGAAGTAGAGCTGGGTTCCTATTTCAGGCATCCCACCTCTGTGCCTGGTGCTTTCCCTCCACTCCATTGTACCTCTGCATGTTGTGCGAGCCCAAATGTAGGCACCCAACTCGACACGAGCTTGCTGCCAACCTTATCACAGACACCCCATGAAGCTTCCCTGCCCCTCAGCAGCCCCAGGGTGGCGTGCCACACCCACACACCAGGGAAGACAAAGCTCCTCTCTCCCCTCTCTCTCAGTCCCCGTACCTGGGACACCCACCACTGCTGCGGACAGACCTCAGACAAAGGCAAATGAATTGCTGACCCAGCTCACAAGATATATGCCAAAATTTTAATAGCATTTCTGGGAAGAAACAAGGGCCAACACCATCTTTCTTGGCATTACTTTTTATTGAATACAGACTTATAGTCTTTAAGTAATTTGAATATAGTGTTTTAAATATACAGTTCTTTAGTCATATATAGATTTATTTAAAGCACAAAACTATAACTCAGAATGGAAAGGCTATAAATGCACATATGATTATTGCCATAAATCTAAAACTATCTTATAAAAATAGAACTCAAATAACGACATGTTTTGGCAACATAGCATATTGTAAGGTGGCCAAATGCACTTTTATGATGCAGCACTGCCCCCCAAATGACTGTCTCTAGGTTGCATTTGCCTTCTCTCTGGGGAGGTCTCCTTTACCAGGGTCCCCACAGAGATGCCCGTGACCATGGCTCACTGTCGCCTTTGCAGAAAGACTCTGTGCACCCACCTGTGCTTGGAGGCGGAAGACCAGCTCCCAGCCCCTCCCCTCCACCCCCCCTGCATGGCCCTTCACACTTCGGGAAGCCCCCAGAACACATGGCTGATACCTGATATAGAGTCGGTTTCCTTCCTCAGCTCAAAGAATGGCAGGTGTGAGTTTGATTCTGTCAAATCAGTATAAGAGTTTGAAATAAAAGTCCCTCGAACAGTGCCCACTGGGGAAACCCCATCCTGACAGTGGGCACCAGTGCCCACCTGCTGTGCAGGCCCTTCACACACCATCTACCATCCTCACAGCCTCACAAGGTTGGCACATTCTCGTTCCCCTGTGAGGAGGCTCCCTGGGCCCCAGACCGGAGATCTCTGCCCAGAAATCCTCGGAGGGAAACCAGAAGAGAAGGCAGGTCTGCAGGGTGGTCCTCAGTGAGAACAGACCAGTGGCTCTGGGTCCGCTTACAGAGGGGCAGCAGCTCCCCCGGTGTGCCCTAGACTCTTGGCTGCCACATCCAACGGGAGCAGGAAGGTGCTGTCTGAGGGCAGGAGCGAGCACCTACAGACCAATGACTTCGATGAGCAGTGCCGGAATCTCCCACCCAAGTCCTCAATCCAAAACCTGGGCCTCAAGGACTTGACTGCTTGTGGCTGCTTGTGTTTTCAAAGAGCTGAGCAAAGGTCAGAGTGCCTGCCCCCTCTCTGCCCTGCCCGTGTCAGCCGGGCTGAGGTGCAGGCAGCACGCACAGCGGCCCATAAAGGGGCCAGAGTGGGTGCGCAGAACGGCACAGAGCACAGCAGGATGGGCAGGTGGGGTTCGGGGTGACTTCTCAGGACCCGCCCCACCCAGGAACCCGCAGTGGAGAGAGCTGAACTCGGAGCCTCCTCTGGACAGAGGCAGCTGCTCAGCGATGTGCAGTTTGATTGTTCTCCCTGCTCCGTGTCCTTTTGATTTCCCATAAAACGTGCCCCGGCGGGGAGACCTCCTCGCTGGTCACAGCCTCGAGGACAAGCTCTACTCAGGTTCTGTGACTGTCTGCCCCTCCATCAGGGTTGGCTCTGGATGTGGCGGGTCCCCCTCCCGGCCCGCTGGCCCCTCAGCCCCGAGACCGGGGGAGAGCCCTGCCCTGGGCCCTCCACATGGGTTTAGTCAGAATCCCCGGACAGCATCCTCAAGGATGCCCTGCTGGGGCCACCACGATCATTTCTTGAAATGGATGTCACAGCAGTGCTCTTAACAGCCTCTCTAAGGATGAATGAAACAAACGAGTAAACAACAGAAAACTCCCAACGCAACCCTCTCTCATCTCCCCTAAAAGGCAGATCCCATAGCGGGGCCTGTTCTGAGTGAAGGGGAGTGAGGAAGCAACCAGAGGAAACGCCAGTGCAGGGTCTGTGGGCAGCAGATGGTCCTCTCTCCCTCCCGTGCTTGCCCGGCCTGAGCGTTTCCTCACCCGGGACTGCCCGAGGCCCTGGGGGGCAGCGAGCAGCAGGTCCCGGGGGCAGGACCAGGGGCAGGGAGTTGTTCCCTCCAGAGCAGCCAGATCAGAAGCTGAGCTCCATGGAAGGCTGCCCCTGAGAGGCAAAGGGGCAATGTTTTCGTGGGCCCAGGTCACTATTTTACATTAACTTGGGCTGTGTATGTGTGTGTCAGGGGAGGGGGGGCGGGAAGGGGTGCTTACCCAGCTAAATGTGAGCTCAGCGCAGGCCCTGTGAATGATTAGACTGCTCTGCATCCGAAAACAAAGCCCCTACTTCTCCGCAAAAGAAAGGAGGCAATGACCTGGATTAGCCTCTTCCCTCATGATTCACTAGGTACATTGCATTTAATAAGGCGACTCATTCTTCCTTCCGTTGGGCAAAACATGACCCAGCCGTGCTAGGTCCTGCTGGCAGCAAGTGAGGGAAGTCAGCGTGCCCGTCCCACCTCACCTGACCCCTCCTGAGCCCGGCTGCTCTTCTCTCCTGTGCAATGTTATCAGGGCCCGGCCAGCCGCCGTCTGTAGCTACGGACACTCCTGCGCACAGGGACATTCCCCTGCAGACACTCAGCTCTGGGGGATCTCGCTGTGCTGCACATGGGGCCCCGAGGACAGGGGAGCTGCAGAAAGCTGGGGTGAGGCTTGGGAGAGGGGTTCAGCAAGGGTCTGGCAGCTGCAGAATGCTAGGCTGGGAGAGCAGACGTGGTGGTGGGAGTCACAGTTAGTGGCACTTTTCCTTTGTCACCAGCGGCTTGCTGGCAGCGGACGGTGGCGGGCTGCAGAGGCCGCCCATCTCCGCGAGGCTGTCTTCCACGGCCTTCGCAAACTTGGTGGACGAGGTCTCCGGGCAGCTGTGGAAGCTAGAGATGCAGAAAAGGATGCTCTCGGGCTGGGGGTTGTAGCAGGCGCCGTACCCGTCGGGCACCACAGGCCCATAGCAGCAAAACATCTCCATGGTGGTGGGCACCTGGGGAGAGGACAGGTCAGCAGCCCTGGCTCCCAAATGCCACCCACAGCCCGCTGGAGTGAGGGCGTCTGGCACCGCGGCCTCCATGGAATATTTGCTTCTCGGACTACTTTCCACCCGGGCATTTGACTGAATTAACCAAACCAACCGACTGCGTCAGCATGATGGCCACGGCCAGAGTCATAACAACAAGCCCATCTCACCGCACGACGTCAGGAGAAGAGGGGCCATCAGCCACTCCCTGGTGTGAAATCTGCTCTGCGTGTGGAGTCAGGAGCTACGAGATGCACCTGCCGCTGGGTCTCGGCTGAGTCTCTCTCTCACCTGGGGGCCGTTCGAGGCACCGAGGCAATCAGGGTAATTTACTAAATGGCACCCTGGTGACACCCACCGGCTCAGTGGCTTCCCAGAGGGGGTAATTGATGAACTGGAGGAAATCTGGCCCGTCGCCTCTGTCGATCCCCCCCACATCCTTAATTACTGTCAGCATTGCTTGGCTGGTCTGATTTTTCTCCCCATGGCCTGGCACGCACAGTTACTCAGCACTGGTGTTTCAAAGTTTGCCATCAATTGGAGACTTAGTTATGCACCTAATATGTTTTTAATTCAGAGCATCGAGATTTTATAATCCGGATCACAAGCCCAGAAAATGTGTTTCTGAAGGCATTCCAGTCATAAATGTTCATTTCCATGGAAAAACCCACCACACCCCCTTGACTTCATTAGCGTGTCTTGGGGGAAATGGACCACATTCGGGGGCAGGCGCAGGGCGGTCTGTTTTAAACCCATAGGTCTGGGCACCGTGTACTCGGGCCTTCAGAAATGACACTGTTTTGTTTTTTTTGTTTTTTTTAAACGGGCAGAACAAACCATTAGTCTTGCTAATAGAGCCCCTCCTTGTCAGATAAATGTGCCATGCGTCAGCCACAGGCCAGAAAGCCATGCCAAAGCACTTCTTGCCCACGGGTGGCTTCCTGAAGAATTTATGTTGTTTCTGCCCTCATTTAGCCACGTCAGTGAGCTCACGGCAGTAATGAGAAAATCAAATTACTGCGTGGGCTTTTATCCTCAAACATGTGCTATGAGCCCCTTTTATTGCCCGTGTCCAGCCTTTCACAGGTGAGGTGGACTGTTAGTAAATTGATGTGGGCAGGGGGGGTGCTTTCTCTCCTAAACAGCTGCCTTTCTCGAATGATTTCATCCTGCCTCTGTGACAGTGATCCTCCACAGGACAAGCCTGCGGTGCTGGCTAGGAGCCGCCGGCTGGCAGCTCATGCCTGCTACGGGTTGCACGGCCTTTATAACAATAGCTGTGTCCTGCTTGGAGGGCCCTGTCTGCCGGGCACTGGGCTGGGCTTTCCCCCTCCCTCATCGCACCTCGCTGGGCCAGAGCTTCTCTCTAGGCCTGTCGGGCTTGGGGGGTAGCAGATGAAAGGCAGTAGTGTGATGGTTAGGGCACCAGACTGGGTGCTTCCTGTCCTGTCCACCTCTGCTAAGGGGGCGTCTGTCATTACCCCCACTTAGAAGATGACACCCAGCGCTCTGATCATTTAGGTCATTTTGCAGAAAGCCACAAAGCTCGTGAGGTTGAGATATGAGGCTTGCCTGACTTCAGCCAGGGCCCTATTCACCAAGCTCTTTAGAAAGCCCACTCGTGACATTAAGTGGCTTGTTGGGCGACGGGCACCACAGGGCTGTACCTGGCTGGTGGAGAGGATGAATCGATTGCTCGTCAAGTATGTCTCATCCGTGAACATCTCCGGCAGCTCCTTGCACACGTCCCGGGCCAGCTCCCGCAGCCCCAGCAGGTGGTTGTCGATGGCCATCCCTGTTATGGCCTGGGCAGCAGGGAACCAAGAATAGGAAAGGAGACGTGGCTCCCACGTGCCTTCTCCCCTCCTCTCCGTCCGCAGTGCTAAGCGGGACTCCCATGGCCGCAGTTACCGTGGTGCTTGCTGCGGGCAGTGTGTGGGCAGCGGCCCCGGCTGACCGCTTTACCGCGTGGCCTCTGCTCCTCGGGCCCTTGTGCACTTTACGTCCCCAGGATGAGTTGCAGACCTGGCTGCTTCCTAATGTGCGTCTGAGTCCCCTCCCGTGGTCCTGCTGACGTGCCATTACCGCCACGTGGGGCTCTGAGCGAAAGGAGCAGGCTGGCCTGGCCATCCCACTCCTTCTCGGGTAGGAAGGGAAGGAGTCTGGGCAGAAGAGGCCGAGTGCAGGGCCCAGGGACTGCCCAGCCCCATGCAGGCCTGGCGAGGGGTGCCCAGGCTGTCACTGCGCAGACTCTCACCACAACCAACACTTTAGCCTCCAGCGGGAGCCCGAGGAATGAGGACAGAGGGTGTTAAGATCTGTTCCTCAATCTTGGCAGCTATTTCATGGGCCCAGGACCAATTCAACTCAATGATTCAAAATCCAAGAAGTCATTTTGAGACAGAAAGTAGACATCTTAGCAGAGGCTCAGCTGACATTTTCAAGGGGAAAGTTTGTTGAATGAAGAAACGTTTTTTTCTTTTTATCATCACAAGGTATTTGAGCTCTTATCAAAGGATAAGATGCTCTGTCGGAGACGCGCAGGGTGATGGTGTGGCTGGGAGTGGGCAGTGGGCCAGGGCACTCATTCTACAGCTTTCCCACTCGAGGCTGCATGTGTAGCACACACACTGGTTTTGCCTGAATTACATGTCTGTTTGGGACAATTTGGTGGGAGCCACCTCTGACCGACAGTGATAACTTCTGGGTCAACATCAAGGCAATTGTGAATAACTCTTGGCGGGAGGGGGGGCGGGGGGGGGCGCGGTCACAGTTACGGAAGTTGGTCATTAGCTGTTAAGCCCCGCATAAGAGGAAACCTCCCATCACAGTGAACTTTGTTCAGGTTTACAAGGCACATTTGGATTTGACAGCTCTTCTCTTTCAGTTGGGAATGGAAGCATAAAGATGACTCAGAGGCCCCAGTCTCCAAATGCACCTAATTATAGGCTGAAAAGACATGTTACACACCCACAGCTCACATTAGATGTGCCCCAGTAGGACAGGGGAAGGACGGAGCCCCTCTAGGAAGTAGAGTGCTCTTCTGGCTTCTTTGGTTACCTCTGTGTAATCCAGGGGTGGGCAAACTTTTTGACTCGAGGGCCACAATGGGTTCTTAAACTGGACCGGAGGGCCGGAACAAAAGCATGGATGGAGTGTTTGTGTGAACTAATATAAATTCAAAGTAAACATCATTACATAAAAGGGTATGGTCTTTTTTTTTTTTTAGTTTTATTCATTTCAAACGGGCCGGATCCGGCCCGCGGGCCGTAGTTTGCCCACGGCTGATATAGAGTGAAATCTGGTCAACTTCTTTTCAAAGGCTGTATCAGAATGATTTGCAATTAATATATTGATCACCAGCCCTAGCTTATTCTCTATTGTTTGTATGCTGGCTTGCAGTGCTAAAAAAATAAATCATTTCTCTAAACCAGCCGTGGGCAAACTACGGCCTGCAGGCCGGATCCGGCCCGTTTGAAATGAATAAAACTAAAAAAAAAAAAGACCGTACCCTTTTATGTAATGATGTTTACTTTGAATTTATATTAGTTCACACAAATACTCCATCCATGCTTTTGTTCTGGCCCTCCGGTCCAGTTTAAGAACCCATTGTGGCCCTCGAGTCAAAAAGTTTGCCCACCCCTGCTCTAAACTAAGGAAACATTTCCCTTACAACTTTAATGTCACTATTAATGTTCACTGACTTTATATTTACCAGTATAGGCAGCATAAATAAAAGCATGGAAAATAAGAAGGCAAAATCAGGCCGGGGTGGGATTGATGCTGCCTGGCCTGTGACTGTGCATGGTGTGCAGGCCACTACAGCTTGCCAGGCCCAGGTGCAATCCCCTCGCATTTGACTTCTCTTGTATAAAGTGGACATTGCTATGCATAGTTGGTGCTATTATTGTTCTTGTTTCAAAGCCCATTCATTGTATTCTCATGAAATCCCTGTAGAAGGCAGGTGTGGTATGTTACCTAGGCTCTAAAAATAAGAGGGAGGAGGTTCTGAGAGCCAGCTGGCCTTGCCAAGTAGCTGGACAGTTGGTGGCTCAGCTGCCACCCAGCCTGTGCTGGGGGCCTGTCCTGGCAGAGCCCACGGTCATGTGCTCAGGCGCAGCAGAGCCGGGGCACTCACCGGGCCTGGGCACTGGCACTCACCATGACTGTGTACTCCGTCTGGGCGCGGATGGCACTCTTCAGGAGCAGCAGCTTTTCGGAATCCTGCAAACAGACCAGGCTTGAAGCATGTGGGGTGTTAAGAGGCTGCTCAGTGACAAGCAGGCCGAAGGGACGGCTCCCTTGAGACCCCTCAGACGGAGCGGGGCTTACCGGCACGGCAGCCTCGTGGTCTGTGACGGCTTTCACAAACCGCAGTGCTTCTGGAGTGGCCGATCGAATGTTGTCCACCCGTCCCTCCCGGAAGCGACGGATGGATGCGCTCTCATAGGTGGGCACGAGTCTGCAATGGAGCCTGCACAAATGAGGGATGAGTGCAAAGGTGATGCATCCTCAGGGACTCAGAAACCGGGAGAAAGATAGCCCGGGCAGCTTTAGTTTTACAGTCCTGGCTTTGCTTGGCAGAGTACTTCATTTTAACGGTAATCGAGCTCTAGGAGGTTTCCCAAGATGAATGCTGAAGTCGCTAATATTAAGAGCTGTGTACATTTCCATACAGTGGTGACACTGCACAGGTATAAAGCAAAATACAAAGTAGCTGTAAAAAATCCCAACCTAGTGGGAAACCTAGAATTTTCTGCAAGACCTGATGAATCTTTGATTAATAGCACAGAATAGAATAATTGTGTAATTAATCATTCACGGCCCCGAGAGAATCCTGTTTGATTTAAAACAATTCACGCATGAACTATGGATGGAGGCAGGGAGGGGCCTCAGTGGTCATGGGTGTGAAGTCCAGAAGCACCTGGGCTCCCACAGACCCCTGGGCACCCCTGGGTGCGCCTCTCCTCTGGAAAGCCGCGACAGGACAGCAGGCCACTCCCCCAACAGCCAGGGGCCCTCTCTTCCTTAGGCACGAACCAGACCAGCACCCTAGGCTTGTGCTTGCGGACCTGGCTGGCACACACCTTTCTTTACCAGCCGGTAAAGTCCTTGGTTTGGGGGTTGGGGAAGGGAAAGACACAGAACTGAGAAGAGCAGTGACAGCCCTGGGTCTCGGCCTCCTCAGGTACGTCTCTCCCTCGTTGGTGGCCTCCAGGAGGGCAGAAGGCCAAGTCGACTGGGCCCAGTGCTTGGCTCTGTTTGCTTGGGGTACAAGTGACTACGCTCCCATTGCCCTTCTATCTCATTTGCCCAGGACACTGGCAGGGGGTGCCTTCCCTGTGTCTCCATGTCCCTGGAGGCAAACAGACGCCCTCACTGGCTGGGTACTGGTCAGGTTCCAGTACCTGTAGGCAGCTTCCAGGTTCTTACTGAATCTAGGAGCAGATATTTTTTTGTTTTTTAATTCATTAAAGCTTAGACTCTGGAGAATGTTCTCCATGTTTTAGCTATTCATGAACCCCTGAGCCTCTGGCCATGTCCATTCCTGCCCAGGTCCAGTGACAGCAACGATCGCATGAGGAGGGGGTGCTCTGTGTAGGTTCCTCTTGGCTTTGGATCTGAAGCTCTGAAGTGCTCAATCAAGGGGGGGGGGGGGGGAGGGGGGGTGAGCAGTCATGGCTCCAGCAAGACCCTAGCCTCACGGCCCATTTCAGCCAATTGTTATGCATCAGAATGACACTGACTGCAGTTCCAGACACAGGTCCTGCCGCAGTTCTATGGTGACAAGGTCTGTGTCCTGGCAATGCGGGTGACGCCAGACTTCCCCAATGAGTTAAGAAGACAGATTCTCAGAGTGGCTGCTCCCTTTCCCAGGAGTCATGGCCTCACAGGCCATTAGGACCCACATGTGCTGCCTGCTCATTGCTGAGACTGCCTTGCTCAGCTTTAGACAAGGTCACTTCGTGCCCCTGGATGTTGCAAATCGAAAGCAGATCTGGTGGACGACTGCAATTTGCCGTCATGCCAGCCTATGAGCTGTCGCCCCTGGAGCCCTGAGCCCTGGAGCGCCCTATCTTGAAGAAGATCTACTTTGCATGTTAGTTTTAGCGTCTACACTCTGCCTTCAACCCTCACCCCCTACCACTATAGAGGTTTTTCTAAATCACAGACCTGGCCGTGCCACCCCTAGCTGACACTCACGTTGTGTCTTCTCACATTGGACTCAGTGCCTGAGGCCTACTCTGTGCCAGGTGTGCAAGGTATGCAAGGTACCCCGAGTGTCATGCTTGGGAGGGGCAGTCTAGAAAGCAAAGTCAACAAATCAATGGACAGGGTCGTTCACATGAACCACAACCGCCACAAAAGGAAAAGAGACACAATGGTCTGACAGAGGACTGGGTGGCAAGGGGCCTGAGGTGCCTGCCTTAGATAAGGGGTCACGAAAGGCCCTGAGTCGTGGGAAGGAGCTGGCAGGGGAAGAGTGGCGGTGGAAGGTGAATCGGCAGAGGCGCAGCCAGAGCAAAGGTCCAGAGACGGGAGAGCCTGGGGAGACCCCAGGTGAGCCAGCTCATAGGAGCTTGCTAAGCCTGGACTCTGGGAGGTCCCAGGTGGTAAATGAGAATCTCATTTGTGTATTCCCAACTTCACGCTTTATGAAGACAGGATCTAGTAAGCCAGGTGGGAGGCAGAGACCCCGGGGAGCATGATGCGGTTGGCCAAGCATGAGGTGGCAGGGGCTCGGGAGGGGCCAACGGAGGGGGAGGGAGGTGGATGGAGGTGAAGGGCAAAGAGACACGTGGAAAATAACCGAGTTGGTGGGGGACAAGGGACAGGGACGAATCAAGGATGAGTCCTAACCCTTTGACCTGACCCACTGAGGGACGCTAGTTCCATTTCACTATTGAGGCCAGAAAAACAGGAGGTTGTGCTGCAGCTACAGGGGCCAGGTGGACTGGATGAGCTCAGGAGGAGGGGCACCTTCTCAACCCGATGTCCCCACCGCCGGCCTGGCCTTGGTTAGCTCGTTCCTGCCTTTGTGCTCTGTGCCCCTGGCCGTTGCTCAGGCACCTGCCTGACTGGGACACCTTCTCCCTTCTGAGAAGGTTTTACACCTTGAAACCCTGTGAGGTGGCACCTCCTTCCAAGCAGGCTGCCCCGGTCCTCCACCCGCCCCCCAGCCCGCAGAGACCTTCCTCCCTCCGGTGCTTCTAGACTCTGGAGTCAGAGCAGCTTGTCGCAGCCCCGGGCGGCTCCGCTCACCTGTAGAAGGCCAGCTGGAGGGCCACCTGAATAAAAGCGTCGGGGCTGCACTTCTGCTGTTTGATGAACGTTTTCCCGTAGTTGTCAAACTTATAAACCACGAAGTCAAGATTCTTTACTATTCTGTGGAAAAAAGAGAAGATGTTTGATTTCATGCAAAATAGAATGCACACATCTGAGTCTAACCAAGTCTCTTGAGCCTGCACGGTGCCAGCACTTGGAGGTCCAGGACGGTGCCTGCCCTGCAGGAACAGAGCGTGGCACAGGGCATGCTGGGCCAGGGTCACTCTCGACTGAAGGTGGGGCGTGGCTGGGTGGATGATGGCCTGCCTGGCTCAAGGGAGATGGGCCGGGCTGCAGGGAGGGCAGAAGAGGCATTTGCATGGCAGGGAGAACACGGCCAACAAACCAAATCTTAGCAGCCCTGCAGAAGTGAGCCTGGGAGAGGCCGTTCATTGGCCTGTTTGGAAGGTGTGTCCAGCTTCCCTATGGATTCCTTTGGCACCCGGGCCATTCTGCCAGATCCGCGAACACTCTTTGTCCAGGGAAAAGCCCAGTTCTCAGATGGCTGCGCGTAGCACTCCTCTCTGAGACTCATCCCTGTTGCACTCAGCGAAGGCTGCCTGCCGGTGACTGAAAATCCATTTTACCCAGAAACTGCTGCTGCTGCTCCATGCCACACCCAGGCCCTGGCTGCCCTGGAGTCATTGTCAGAGTAGCAGGAAGGTTCCCCGAGTCTACCCTGAACCCTGAGCACTGGCCTCTCCCTTCCTGCCCCCCAATGTGGCCACAGGATTCTCCCTTCCTGCCCCCGAATAATGACCAATCTCCTCCTTCATAATGAGCTTTGGGTCTGGGCTGACTGCCCACTGGAGCAGTGCCCAGCAAGGTCCACACCACACACCCACCAGCCATGTGCCAGCAGAACCCTAGGGGCAACCTTGGCCCCACTCACACACTCACGCCCTCTGGACGTGGCGCTCCCTGCCTTCGTCCTTCCCCCTCCCCTCCACCCCGGAACTGTTTCTCTGGCCGCACACCCGTGGCCTCAGCTCTCGGTGGGGCCATGCCAGGTCTGGGGACTCAGAGCGCAGAGAGCCCGTTCCCATGGGAACGCCTGGCCCGTTGACTCACCGGCCCCACACAGGCTGAGCTCACGGTCACCACGGCCCCCGGGAAACCTTTTACCCAGAAGCTGCCCACTCGACCCCACCCTTTTCCATGTGCAGCTCAGGAACCTCTGTTTCCCCACCCACAGGCCTCTCTGGAGAGCAGCTGGGGGCCTCAGGATCAAGTGGGCCTGCTCCACCCCTAAAAGTGAGCAGGCTCCTCCCCTCGCCCCGGGCTCAGCAACCAGCTCACCCGCCTAGTGCTCGGCTTATCCCCACACAGCTGCCCCAGGTCGAGATGTCAGCACCACCTTAGAGATGAACAGCGAACACCCCTCCTCCAGGAAGGCCCTCCAACCTCCCCAGCAGCTCCCAGTGAACTTGTCCTCCCTACCCCTTGGCCTCCAAGCCCAGTCACACTCTATCCAGCTCACCTACCCTATTCCCACAGGCTCCTCCTGGCTCTCGAAACCCCTGCACAACCCCTCCAGGGCTCCTCACAGAATCCAGTTCCTGTGTTCTCTGTGGGTTTGGGTTACGCATCACACACCTTTGCTGTGGGGTCCACTTCCCCACTGAAGTACGGAGGGCAGGGCCCTGGCACATCACCTCTGTGTCCTCAGAGTCTTAGCACAGGCCTGGCATAGACTGGAGTCTGCACATGTTGGTCGAATGAATGAATGAATGAATGCACTCACACTCACTGAACAAGGGAATGACCAACCAAGGTCCAGATTCAGTTGTCAGCCCACAGCTCTCTCCACACCTTGCACCCCACCCCCAGAGGGGCCCACACCTGCCCCTGGCCCCCCTGCCGGGGTCCCATTAGGGCCTGAACTGCCCTTGGGAATAAAAGTTCCCTTATCAAGTTGCAGTGTAAATTCAAGCAAATTGAAGTAGCTTGGATTCAAATGAACTATTCAAACCAGTTGTTTATTACTCCTCCAACAGGATGGTTCCCCCGCCTGGACTCTGCTCAGTCAGGTGGAACCCTTGGGAAAAATATAGCTGCGCATTTGCATTTTATGGAAATGATGGATCCTTCAGCAAGGCCATTTCCCCCGAGTTATAACCCCCCTTCACTTTGCCTACATTTCCATGTGGGGTGGGGGCGGAGGAGCGGGGTCTCTGGAATGCTTCAGGGTGCCTCAGCAGCCAGGACAGGAAGGAGGACACAGGGTAACCCCAGAGCATCACCCCAAAGGAGACAGGCTTCTCCTTACCGTTGAAGTTTTTCTGCCGAGGAGGCTAGGAAGCCTTGAATTACGGGGGAGCATTTCCACCGCAGCCTCCGGGGGGCCGGCAGCTCACTGACGGAGTCAGCTCGGACCAGCTTCTTGCTGCTCATCCTGCAGGCAAAGAGGGCCCTCCTGCAGCCTGTGCGGGGGCTGCGGGCAGCAGCTTCGGGGCCTCCGCAGCCGTCCCAGCGGCTGGAGGGTCAGTGGGCAGGAGCTTCCAGCCACTGCCCTGAGGCTCAGAGGCCACCCAGACTAGCAAGGGGCAGGCCAGGGTCCCTCCAGTTCCACCCGACTCCAAAGCCAATATTAATAATAATAATTTTCCTGTTCAACTGCATATACCACTAACAGTTATAAAACATTTGGAGAAAAATTGAAGCAAACGGTGCTGTTCTGTTTGCAAGGGTTGGTTGGGTTTTCAGTGACCCTAAAGAGCTCCCACATCATGGAAGAGGTTTAGAACTTAGATTCAGGGAGAAGGTTCTAGAAGGAGAGCATGAGCAAAGTCGTAAATGGAGCAGGAACGCGGTGTGTTCAAAGGCCAGCGAAGCCCTTAGTCCGGCCAGCTCGAAAGCGAGGGAGGGAGGCCCAGCCGATGGACGGAAGGAGGTGGAGCTACAGCCCTTCCCTCCGTGCTGGGTGTTCAGGCCGCCATCCCGGGCTCAGGGCACACAGTAGGGCGGATGGGAGCCTCCCTGGGCTGAAGAGATGTTTCTGATTAGCTAGGAGCTGCCACGCCTCCCCCTGGCTGCTCTAAGCCCGCTGTGCGTGGCTGGTAAAGCTAAAATGTCCCTTTCAAGCTGGTTTGCAAATCCAATTCTGCTGACACTTTCCAGGCTGGCGCAGCCCCCATGTGGCCTCCCGGTTTAGTGGGCCGCTTGGCCGCTGGGGAGTCTGGCGTGGCTGCTGGGCTGCCGGAGGTCCTGCCCCCAGACTCACATGTGCTTGAGGAGGTGCTCCACGCACTGCACCAGGACGATGCCGTCGAACGGAGAGTGCTCGCACACCACGCCGCAGGTGCCATCCCTGCCCACCACAAACTGCAAGTAGAAGAGAGGTGAGCAGGCCCCTGGAGTCAGCATTTCAAACCTGCCCTTCGGCTCCAGGCCGGGGCCCCTGGCCACCGGAGGGAACCCCTTCTTGAGGCCACCGAAGCACGTTATCTCCCAAAAAGAACACTGCACGCCGCTGCCAGGGCCTGAGCCTGTGGGCATCGCACGCAGCACAGCCCCACGCGCCCTCCCAGAAATGCTCTGGGCAGGGCAGGCGCAGCCCAGGGTCCAGTGACCCCTGAACAGCTGGGCACACTCTCCGTCAGTCATGGGCCTGTTCCCTCAGTGTCTGTGAGCCCTGAGTCCCCTTCACAGGGGGTGGCAGGGCCACCATCCTGTACTGCACTGTGTGAGGGGGTACCTGGTGGCCCCTGTGTGCTTGGGCACCACTGGTTTTATTCCCAGGATCTAGGCCAGTGCCTACCCCATAGTGGGTGCTCAATGATTTTGTTGGATGACCGAATGAAAGATAACACTCCAACCTGGATGGCGCACAGATTCCTCGGGAGAAACAAAACCTCCCCTGATGGGAGCGAGGAAAAGGTGTATCAGGGACCCGACTCCACCCCGGCGGGGGCCGCGGCAGGGAGAGGCCCACAGGCACCTCCTCTGGCTTCCGTCAGCTCTCGGCGGACATGCCTCCGACAAGGCTGGCTCACAGCACTGATCTGAGGGCTCCAGAGAAGGCACATGGAAGGACCATGGGAACTGGGACGGGGACTTATGAATTTTCATGATCTTACAGAGGCTGTGGTCAGCTGGCATGGAAAAGGGACACACTCTGCACAGAAACACTGGGAGAAAAGAATGAAATGAGCATCGACTCTGACAGCATAACCCAAGTAAAGCAGGGCCGCCGGTAGCTGAGCCAGCACGCCACACTCAGGAGACACTAGCCCACCAGCCGTAACCAACCAGCGAGCGAACGAGCTACTGAGAGCTACTGAACCCTGCCGGGCACTCGGCACACAGCACACACCGGGCCCACTGTCTCCACTCTCCCCCAGGCGCCCACGGCTGCCAGCTGCCCCAGTCTTCGCTCCCATTCTTCTAACTTCCCACAGAGTCTCTCAGAGCTCCTCCCTTTTCTCGCCCCTCCCCCAGTGCCCCTGCCTTCTGTCCCAGGATGCTCTCTGTTCTTCCAATTCCTGTCCATGAAGCCAGTGGGCTTCTCCAGATCGCCTGGTAACCTGTCCCACCTCCAACAGAACGCAGCGGTGAGTACAGTCCCCACATGAGGCAGGGAGGGGAGGACGGTGCCCACTCACACACTGATGTTTTTCTGTCCCTGCCACTAAAAGAAAGACAGGCGAACAGTGCCTTTTAACGACTGCTGCCAAGCCTTACTATGCTTCATGCCCTGTACCTCCATTATATCATTTCCCTCCCACAGTTGCTGCGTGGAAGGTGAGCCATTAGCATCGCCGTGAAGGCTGACAGCCAGCGCAGCAGCGAGGACGCATCGGAAGTGGCAGCAGCAATATGCACCCCGACGAGAGGGTAACTGCAGGATGCGGGCCAGGGGAGGACAAAACAAGCCTAAACGCTCATTACGTGTGAGCGATGCTGACCCGAAGCCAGCGATCGTTCTGCTATTTAATTGGGTCACTGTGACAGTGTGGTGGCTTTAAAAACAAACAAGATCAGATTTAGGGGGGCATGCCTGGGCAAAAGGATGTAAGAACGGGAATGAGTGGCCCTCCCGCCCCCTCCCCCCATCTGCATGAGTGTTTTCTCCAGGCCAAGGCAAGTGCCTTGTTTCTGAGCTAACGTCATACGAATGAAAAAAAAAATTAATTGCTTTATTTTATTTTGATTTTTCTTCTGCGGAGATGCTGGGCTGCCCTACCTCCCAGGGATGAAGGGAGGTGTATCCAACGGCCAGCCAGGGTGACAGAAACTCAGAAACACGAAACATCTCTGGGCGTCAGATGTGATTCTTACTGAACGTGTTGAGGACTTGTTTGGTGGGGGCCCTGGCAGGCCCCCACTTTACAGTGTGTGGTGGGAGATGGGGAATGAGCCCAGGGCCGACCCAGAGGACCCGGCACAGCACCGGCTGCAGGAAGGTTACTGAGCTTGAGTGGGGTTTGGCCCCCTGCTCCTGGGCTGACACCAAGGCCACATCTCCAACCCCTCCAGCTCCCTGGGCCTCGCATGCAGCATCCTGGCCAGCAGAGGCCGGAGAGCGGGTCTGCCCCACGTGAGCAGGGCTGGCTCGGGCCACTGGCCACGCGGCAGGGGCGACTCACCTGCAGGGACTTGTCGTACCAGCGGTTTGCCCCGTTCTTGCTGCAGCCTCCGCCGTGAAGGAGCTGGAGCGCCCTGTTGGTGTCACTGAGCTCCAAGCCCCCTGGGGCGTCCAGGCACACCAGGCAGACGCAGCGCTCGATCATGTCCAGCGAGTCCCGGTTGGTGGAGTCTGCAGGGCGGGCAAGCAAGGACTCATCACCTGTCCCACTCGGGGCCTGGGCCCCCCTCTGCATCGCCTCACACTCCACAGGCAGACACACACCCAGACACCCAGATCATGAGCCAGTCCTGACCCCTCCCCTATCCCAGTGGGTGGGCTGTGAAGTCAGCCAGACTGTCTGAGCTTCTGTACTAGCCTGAGTGTCCCCCCAGCTGTGGCCAGTTCTGCCTCCAGATGTGTGGCCACTGTTCTGCCTGTCTAAGTGAACGGAGCTGGTGCAGAGCTTTGTCCATGCACAGTAGACTCTACGCAGGGGAGGAGTGCCCATTCCAATGCCACCATCCACAGCGCCAATTCCCCGTCCACAGCACCAATTCCCCACCCACAGCGCCCATTCCAATGCCACCATCCACAGCACCAATTCCAATGCCCCCAACCACAGCGCCAATTCCCCACCCACAGCGCCCATTCCAATGCCACCATCCACAGCACCAATTCCAATGCCACCATCCACAGCACCAATTCCCCACCCACAGCGCCCATTCCAATGCCACCATCCACAGCACCAATTCCCCACCCCCAGCGCCCATTCCAATGCCACCATCCACAGCGCCAATTCCCCATCCACAGCACCAATCCCCATCCACAGCACCAATCCCCATCCACAGCGCCAACTCCCCGTCCACAGCACCAATTCCAATGCCCCCAACCACAGCGCCAATTCCCCACCCACAGCGCCAATTCCCCATCCACAGCGCCAATTCCCCACCCACAGCGCCAATTCCCCGTCCACAGTGCCAATTCCCCACCCACAGCGCCAATTCCCCACCCACAGCGCCAACTCCCCGTCCACAGCACCAATTCCCTGTCCACAGCACCAATTCCCTACCCACAGCACCAATTCCCCACCCACAGCACCAATTCCCCACCCACAGCACCAATTCCCCACCCACAGCGCCAATTCCAATGCCACCACCCACAGCGCCAATTCCCCACCCACAGTGCCAATTCCCCACCCACAGCGCCAATTCCCCACCCACAGTGCCAATTCCCCACCCACAGTGCCAATTCCCCGCCCACAGCGCCAATTCCCCACCCACAGCACCTCGCTCCACACCACAACCCCAGTCTGCCACACAGGCATATTTATTTGTCCTGAACTATGCTTTTCAAATATTAGATTCCAGAATTTTAAAATTAGTCTGTTCCACATGGAAGTCAGAAGTAAGAGAGCCAGGATACTGCTCTCCTGCCCTCCCGCTCCCCGCACCCTGCCCCCTCCGCAGCTATGTCCATGCTGGGGCAGATGGAAGGGCCAGGCTGTCCTAAACCTGTGACCAGATGAGCCCATGGGGCCCTTTCAAGCCAATAGACTCATCACGACAAACCACCGAGTTGTGTAGGAGGCCTGTTGCCAAGGGAGCTGGAGCCCTCCCCAGGGACACTGGGCATGGGGTTCCTCCCAGAGCAGAGCTAGGCCAGCCAGATGGGCTGCCGGCAGCTTCCTCCACCACAAAGCCTGCCCGGGGCACCAGGGCTGGAATGCCTGGCCCTTCTCCAGTCAGGAGTCTTCCTGGTGGCGGCTGTGTCCCTCTCCACCACCCACACGGGGTGTGGCACCAGGACCGCTGGAGAGGCTGCACATCACCCAGAGAGCCAGACTTCTGGACTGGCTGCTGTACCAGGATGAGGGCTGCCCTCACCACCCCGAGTCCCAGGATATTGCCTGCAGGGAAGGTGGGGGTGGTGTTTGAGGCAGACGGGCAGCGAGTGTGTGATTGCTGGTTGCATATTGCAATGTCCATGCTGTCTTCAGCCGCAGGACACCTGGCTTTCAGCTGGCACAGCGGCAACCAGATATACAGCTGTACTGCCCAGCCTCCCTTACAGCTAGGGTAACCATGTGTCTAAGCCCTTCCAGCAAGATCTAGAAGCACTACCTGACAGCTTCTAAGAAACCTCCTTAGAGATGACTGACATGTGCTCTTTGCCCTTCTTCCCGCCTTCCTCCATCCTGCTGCCCGGAACACAGGTGCAATCACTGGACCTCTAGCCTCCACCCGGGACCAGGGGGGTGAGGGCCATGCCCTCGCAACGAGATGGAAGAGCCCCAGGCGCCTGCGTCAGCGCTGGCTCACTTCTGGCACACGTGAAAGGGAGAAGGACCTCTGTATTTTTAAACCACTGTTATTGTGGGTTTTCTGTCACCTGTGGCCATGTTTAACCTAACGTGCACTGCCCCGTGCATTGGGTTCACATTCCTACATTGCAGGGATTAGCTGCAGCTGAGAAGGTGCACCCTTGCTTTGCATAGTTTCTGCTCATAATACAGCCCCCTGGGGTCTGCAGGTATTTAAATTCAAGGTCCTTGTCCAGAGGCTATTGTCTTTGTGGAATATGGGGGGCTCCAAGATGACAGCTCAGTCCCTCCCTTCTCCCCTGGGGTGGCCCTGGTCCTGAGCGCTGGCCTCCCATCTCCGGTGCCCCTTGGTTCTGAGCCCAGGTGCACAGCCCTCTGCACGTGCAGCCACTTGCACTCTTGGCTCCTGTGCCTTCCCTTCCCCACTGGGGTCCTGCTGAGTCTGGATTCCCCCTTTCAGGGCCCAGCTTTGGATCCTTCTCTTCTTCCAGAGCCTCAAGCCAAGAATTATGCCCACCGTCTCACAGTCGCCTGGAATTGCCTTCTGAAGGGAACGTGGGGGAGCAGACGCAGCTCCCACTCTCAGGCTCGAGGTCTCCTCGCAGGCTCGGCTCACAGCCTGGCCCTGCCTGTGGGTCGCAGCGAGCGCACAGCACCGTCCTCAGGCAGTGGGGGGCTGAGTCCAGGCACGGCCGATGAAGCCAGCGGAGGACCACATCAAGAAGGTGCCTCGAGATGATCACAGATTCTGTCATTTAAATGGAATAAAGAGAGAATAGGAAAAAAAAAAAAAAAAAAAAAAAAAGAAGGTGCCTGTCCTTTCTTCTGTCCAGCTGGGCCCTGGAGTGGTCCTAGGTGAGGTCCTGTCTGCTCCTCCTTACCCTTGGCCTTGCCCTAGCCTCTCTGGCTGCTCACTCTCTCAGGCTTGTGGAAAGTCGCCCCTGCTGGTGCTGTGGCCTCGAGTGAGGTAATCCCTGAGGCCCTCCCCGGGCCTCCTCAGCACCTGCTGGGCACACAATGCGAAGGCTACCTGTGCTGTTCCCTATCCTGCCCAGGCGGTTCCTCCAGGTTCATGAGAAGTCTCCACAAATCTTCCTGTGAAAGGTGTTTCCCGTCTCTAACCATCCCCTTCCTCCCACTTTTTGAAAATTCTTGGGGAAGGAGCCATCACCCAGAGTAGAACTTCCACTCTGGGAAGGAGGGTGACCAGCCATTCTCTGCCATCCACCCTCTCCCTCCTAGAATAATGAGGGTTCGGGGGGCACCGTACTTTCAGGATGCCTCTTAATCCCTATGGGGCTAGGATGACAAATCACCTTCCACGTGGCCTCGGCTTCCCTCTTCAATCTCGTGAACACAAGCTGAGGAGCTAAAGATAAATGAGACCCGTGGCGCTGCCTTCCCTCTGCTCCTTAAGTGTGGTGGAGTCACCATGTCACCCCTTCAACCTGGAACAGCTCCTCCTGCCCACCAGGTAGAATCCGAACTTCTAAACACAACTCCTGGGTCCAGAGCTAGCCTCTGCTGCCCTCAGGGCTCAACTCCCCTTGCTCTTTGCATGGACCGCACACCAGCCTCCTGCCACTCCCTGGACACCTGTGCACACATAGCCCCTCACCACTGCGCAGGCTGTCCCCAGGATGGGCGCCCTTCTCCCAGGCTGCCTACCAAAGCCATGCTTCCGGGACCCTCTCACGCTCCCAGTCCTCTAACAGTGCTGGCCCTGTGTCCAGGCACACGGGGAGGAGCCCAGACAGAGTTCCTGCCCCCCAGGACTCCTCACACCTGGAGCCACCTGCTCAGTGCAGATGAGGAGCCCATGCTCTGTCCACCAGGCCAGCCTCACGCAGCACCTGAGCCAGGGCTCGTCCAATTCCCTCTACACAACTGTCTACTACCACACAGCACACACCCTACAGTGCATCCTGCCCTGATACCCATGCCTCAAGCAGACACTGCCAGTCCAGCTCCAGAAGCCCTGATCTGGTCCCTCCCCCCTTCTATGAGCTTGCAGAGGGTGCGATCTGGGCCCCAAGCTCAGGCAGGCAATGTCTATGGCTGGCAATGGACTTGATAGTGTATGGGCAGGTAGGGGTGAGATCTATGTGCACAGCTCAGAGACGGAGCCCAAAGGAGCCCAGCTGGCCAACAGGAAAGGCCATGGCTGCTGGAGGGTCAGAAAACCACTACTTGGGGGGCATGGAGCTTCATGGGGGAGTGAGGAGTGGAAAGGAGATGGGAAGGGAATCATGACGCTTTGCAAGGCTCCAAGCTCTACCCCTCTCTGCTCCAGTAGGAGTCCTGACCAGTTATCATGTTGTCTGGTCCTGCACCATGTGCCGTTCTGGGGGTTCCTTTGGGCTTCCTGGCTGGCTAATGACTTCAGAGCATGGGGAGGCCTGGGTCAGATTCAGGTACACAGAGAAGAAGGGAGAAGCATGTCAGGAAGGGGACAACAGTATGAGAACAGGCTCCGAGGGCTGGGAGGCAGAGAGCAGGCTGTGGTTAAGGCATGCAGGGTGCAGGTGAGGCTGGCAGGACCCAGTACAGTGGTGCTGTTGGCTAACCTTGCTGAGCTCCTGCTATGTGTCAGGCATCAGTCTAAGCTCTCACACAGGTGACTATTGAACGTGTACTGTTACCATCCCACTCCCAGGGAGGCACAGAGGAGCTGCATGTCTTACCTGAAGTAACCCAGGACATGAAGGGAGCTGCCCTTGATCACACCTAATGCCAAGGCAGGAGCAGATCATCAAGGATGAATAGCAGCATTGGGAAGATGGACTTCATCTAGCACAGCAGGGAGCCACTGGCAGGTCTGGGCAGAGGCTGATGTGGTCAGAGAGAGTCTAGGTTTCCAACATCTTGAGAAGGGCTCTTGAGAAGGACACGGGCCTGGACCCAGACAGGGCCATGAGCAGCCCCAATGCTGCCCACCTTGGCCCTGTTGGCCATGTCTCAGTGAGCTCTGAGGACCCAGGTTTGGTGTCTGCCTACACCAAGGTTTCCCTAGGAACAGCTCCAAGGCCAAGGTGGGTGGGAAGGCTGCAGCTCCCCAGGAACCCCACAGGAGCCCAGCCAGAGGATAGGGAACAGGCCCGATAGAGCCTCTGAGTAGGAAAGTGGAGGCTTGGCACACTCCTTCCCAGCTGGGCAGGAAAAAAGGATAGCTTCCCAGGCATCGGTGCCCCGCCCCCCTCCAGACAGGAGAGGGGGACTCCTGGGAGGGCTGAGCCATCACTCCTGGCATGCTGGTTGTGCAGGGCCCTGGAGCTCAGCGCCAGCCAACAGGAACCAGGTCCTGGCTCATTAGACAGAGTGAAATGGGAGCAGGACAGCCGAATGGGGATGCCAGGTGGCCTTGCAAATGAACTCCCTGCATACAAGGAGCTGATCGGTCAAATGCTGACAAGTTTATCGTGGGAGGCAGAAAATAAACTCCAGCCAAACTCATCCACCATGACTCTGGCTCAAATGTGCTGGAAACGCGGAGCCGAGGACTGGAGGCACACGGCAGGGGCCGTTTGTCTTGTGACATCGCCATCGAGCACAGGGAGGCTCGTTTAATGCGATGAATCAATCTTCCTCAAGGAGCCCCTGCTTAATAGTGAGAAGCCGGACTTGACTAATAGGAGGAGCTTGTCCTGCCACCCACGCATGGGGAGTTGACAGCTTTGGGGATGCAGACATTCCAGAGGCCACCAGGGCTTGGAGGGCCCTGTAGCTTCTGTTAGCGGTGGAAAGCTTACAGGCTGTGACTAAGGTGAGCAAAGAGAAAACCAGCACGGCACCTCTGCCTTTGGAAGTCTGCAGAACTCTCAGGTGCTGTACACACACACACACACACACACACACACACACACACACCACCTCCTCAGAGGCTTATAGCTTCTAAACCATTGTGAACCCCATCTGAGCATCCTGCCTCCCCAGATGAAGGGGTCATACCTCCCTTGAGAGGGAAATCTGCCATCACACATGCCATATACTTCTCTACTCTATGGCTTATGGGGCAATCTTTATGCTCCCCACCCCAGGAGGTTATGAGAATTCTAAGAAATGTGTCTCTTGCACAATTAAACTTGGTCTTTGAAAATCAGAACTGCTTTGACTTGAGTTACAAAGGCTCTTTAGAAAGCTCAACAAGGAGGGACTTCTACTTCTAGGAAGAGCAAGTGGACTTTTCCCTACTCCTCCCACTATATTTAAAACAAACATAGAAGACTCTGAAAGATGGAAAGAGGAAATCAGAATGACTAAGAACCTCAGGACACAAGGAACACATGATAGTGGGGTTCCTGGCTATTATGGACTGAATTATGTCCCCTCCCTCTGCCCTCAAATTTATATATTGAAACCCTACCCCCAATATGACTGTATTTTGAGACAGGGCCTTTAAAGAGTTCATTAAGGTTAAATAATGTCATAAGGGTAGAGCCCTAAACCAATAGCCCTGTTGTCCTTATAAGAAGAGGAACAGACACCAGGGATGGATTTGCAAAGAGTAAAGGCCATGGGAGGATGCTCTGAGATGGAAATCATCCGCAAGCCAGAGAGAGTGGCCTGGGGAGAAACCAACCCTGCCAGCACCTTGATCTTGTACTTCTAGCCTCCAAAACTGTGAGAAAAAATGTCTGTTGTTCAAGCCACCGAGTCTTTAGGTTTTCTGTTTTAGAAAACTTCAGACTTGGAGCTGAAGTAGCCAGCAACATAAAAACACAAACAAGAGTAGACAAAAAATAAACAAACACAACCGCAGCCTGATAACAGCCTGCTCTCTTTAGCCAAAGGACCAGGTAAGAGACAGACTTGCAAGACAGAAAACTCTTAGACCGTAACTTACTCCCCCCAGCAAAGAGAAAGTGGAGAGCCTAGACTTCTAACGTCACCGGTCTGTAATGAGGCATCTCATCTCGGTGGTTTCAGAGAAGGCCTGGTCTCAGATGGAAGCTGGGACTTCCATCTCCACTGGGCAGTAACTGCCACCACAGTTACCCCCCACACAGCATCAGTAGAGACCACGTGGGGGGCGGTTAAATTCATAACTCCCTACCAGTAGCAAAGAACACCTCCCTTGGCATGTCAATGTAGCCTAGATGAAGATCCTGAACTTCCATCCCACCTGACTGTAGCAAGGCAGCCCACCCCACCCCTGCTGGAGCAGTGCCAGAAGAAGCCAACTAAAACAAGAGGTTTAAATAAGATTCAGGTCTCAGAGCATTATATATACAATAGGACATCACTTGTCACAAAAAGAACAAGGGGAATCTCAAATTGAATTTGAAAAGACAATCAGTAGGTACCAACACTGAGATGACAGAAATGTTAGACTTATTTAACAAATATTTTTAAATTAGCCCTCATAAACTGTGCTTGAAAGAGCATTTATGAGCACATTTGAAAAAAATGAAAAACAAAACAAAACAAAACAACTCGGAGTTTCAGCAAAGAATCTCTCTATATAAAAGCGTAATATGCAAATCAACCGAACAGCGAAATGACAGGTCGGCTATGACACGCACTGACCACCAGGGGGCAAACACTCAGTGCAGGAGCTGCCCCCAGCCTGTAG